GACTTAACTCTTACCAATCAGTGCTCACACTCAGCACTCACGCTCAATAGGTACTATATAGTAACCGCTACGGCGCGCAGCCCAATCCATATATATATATAATAACCGCTGCGGCGTGCAGCCCGATCCATATTTCGCAGCGGCGTGCAGCCCGATCCATATATCGCAGCGGCGTGCAGCCCGATCCATCGCTGCGGCGTGCAGACCGATCCATATGGGCACCCGCGCTCACTGTGAGGGTGCAGACTCGGGAGGGGCTCCTACAGCCCAAGCGCAATATTGCTGCGGCGTGCAGCCAGATCCATATAAGTATACTGCTGCGGCGTGCAGCCCGATCCATATAAATATACTGCTGCGGCGTGCAGCCCGACCCATATATATATATATAAAACTTGCTGCGGCGTGCAGCACGATCCATATATATATAATCCTCACGGCCAGGCCCTCGACCTCTCTCAGTCATTAGCCTCACCATCAGACTCTCAATCTATTTCAGTCATCAACTTCACAATTAGACCCTCGGTCTATCTCAGTCGTCAACTCACGATCACTCGGACCATTAGTAAAACAGGGAACTTACCCCAAACAGTCTTTTACATTTTTAAGAAATATGGTGATAAAGCCAGATTTTTAAACAATAAGCCGGTAAAACATGACTGAGGATATGCTATCAACACATATAGTGAGGAAAAATAGTAAAAATGCCCCTAAGGGTCTCAACAGGTCGGCACAAGGCCCCAAACATGGCATACAGCCCAAAACACAATAATATCAGACAGTTAACTATCAAATGCGCATTAAAGTACTCTTTCGGGATGGACTAGGTCACAATCCCCAGCGGTGCTCTACCCCACGCTCGTCATCCAGCGTGCAAGTCACCTCAAAGTAACACAACGATGTGTAATCCGGGGTTTCAAACCCTCAGGACAGTATTTACAATCATTACTTACCTCGAACCGGCGAAATCTCTAGCTCACGACGCCTTTGCCCTCCAAATCGGATTCCACGCGCGTCGAATCTATCCAAAACCAGAGCGAATACGTCACAATATGATAAGGGAACAAAGCCCAAGCAAAAACAACCAATAACGGGCACAAATCCCGAAATTACCAAAACTCGAGCCCCGGGCCCACTTCTCGAAAAATCAGAAAATTAACATCATCGGATTCCTTACCTTGCCACGAGTCTATACATATCAAAATTACCAGAATCGGGGTCCAATTGACCCCTCAAATCCCCATTCTTAACTCTCTTGAGTTCAAGCCCTAACCTCCATTTTTAACCCTTGATTCCCTTAATTTTCCAGCTCTAATCCATGTATTTACACCATAAAATCATGTTTTAAGTCCAAGAATCCATACCTGATCAAAACCCCTTGAAATCCCTCTTCAAAATCGCCCACAATGCTCCAAGTCCGAACTGAAATGTCTATCTCTTTCAAAAATTCGCGAAAAAGAAATTAAATACCTCTGCCCAGTCACTTCCGCTTCTGCGGAATCTTTACCGCTTCTGCGGTCGCCGCTCCTGCGGCATTTCTTCCGCTTCTGCGGATATACTCTATTGCGCCCAGGACCGCTTCTGCGGTCCCTATCCGCTTCTGCGGGCGCCGCATATGCGGGCCTCCATCCGCTTCTGCGGAAGCCCTTCCATGGTTCCATTTCCGCACCTGCGCCTTTCCTACCGCATCTGCGGAACCGCATCTGCGGCCCCCTTTCCGCAGATGCGGAAATACTAGATACCAGCCATTATCAGCAATGCTGCAAGTCCAAATTCATCCCGATGGCTATCCGAAATCACCCCGAGGCCCCCGGGACCTCAACCAAAAGTATCAACACATCTTAAAACATTATTCAAACTTGCTTCAATCATCAAAACACCTCAACTAACACCAAAATTATCAAAATACATAGAATTCAAGCCTAAGTTTCTTCAAAAACTTCCGAAAAACGCATTCGATCAAAACCCCAACCAAATCACCTCCGAATAGCCTGAAATTTTGCACACACATCCAAAATCACCTAACGAAGCTATAGCAACTCTTGGAATTCCATTCCGACCCTCGGATCAAAATCTCACCTATCAACCGGAATTCGCCAAAATACTAACTTCGCCAATTCAAGCCTAATTCTACACCGGACCTCCAAAATCAATTCCGATCACACTCCTAAGTCACAAATCATCTAACGAAGCTAACCAAATCATAAAAACTCCGATCCGAGATCATATACGAATAAGTCAACTCTTGGTCAAGCCTTTCAAATTAGAAGCTTTCAACTAAACTGTTTCTTCCAAATTCATTTCAAATTTTCCTGAAAACCAAAACCAACAATCTATATCAGTCGCAATACATTACACGGGGCAAGTCACGCCCGAGAACTGGCAATCAAAGTGCAAAAACTAAAAACGGCCTGTCGGGTCGTTACAGTTAATATGACATGGATAGCGTGAGAAGGAAAGAGATGACTTTTTTGACGAATTTCTCTCTATATATTTGCATATACTTCTGAACTTGTCGTGCTTTTGTGCGGTTGTGACTTTACCACAAAACATATTGTTGTTTTATTAATCTATAGGTTAAAGAAAGGTCATTTTAATTTGTTCTTTTAGTATCCGAATTAGGGAGTTTGTATAGGAAAGGTGAAACTTCTGGATTTTTAGCGATTTTGGCGATGTTTGAGGATCAATAAAGCTCTTTTAGAAAACAGTAAAGAAATTCTACAATCTCTACTTAGGAGAGGTTGCAGTAGGTGAAATTTTATTAGGTGAAGAAGTAATCGAAGATAAAAGTTGATTATCTTAATGGGGAGAACAAAGATTCCTGAATCATGGGGTGGAGGATTCTGCAGTCTTTATGCTTAATATTATTTTTAACAGTCGAGGAATTTTCTGTGACTTAGTTGACCCATTGGTTTAAAACTCAGTACAGTACAGCCTTCCCTCATAAAAATACAAGGTTCCTTGCAACTGGCAGAGTTCGAACTTGTAACGTCCACCTTATCTATACCTCTGTCGTTGTGTCCATAGCAGTAAACCAACACCTCGAGGGCAACTTGGGTTAATATATGCAACCGAAGTCTTCTGTTTATTTCTGAAGCAAGTTGACAAGGGGTTCAACTGCTCCAGCTTTGTTTTGATCTGTGAGCTTCATCTTGAAAGTGTTGTTGCCATTACAGTCTTACTCATATCGCATCCTGCAATTAGATATTTAGTAGCAGCATATTTTAATTAAATAATTAAAATTCTTCATCATACTGCTACAGTTCACAATGGTAACAATTCATTTACCCGTACAAGAGGCTTCAAATAATTAGGTTCATATGAAGAGCTTTAAATGGCTCTGTCTACTCAACGTCCACTCCTGTTGAGCATCCTCCTCTCTCTATACTCAAAACAAAAAAAAGAGCATCAAAAAGAAAATCAAATTTAAGGGCGTCAGAGAATACCACATTTGTCCTCATCGATTGTGTAAGGGTATCGAAGGGATGTAAATCCAGATTATACAACTTCACTTTAAAAGTTATACCACCTACTGAACTACATTAAGTAGGTTCTGACGAATTGCTATCAATGTTAGACTCTCTTGAGAAAGTGCTCTCAAGATATTCCCTTTGTTTGGTTATGCTGGTTTCTAGAAGCGCACAAACAGTGTCTCATTTCAACTGAGGGGCATGTAGTAGGGTTTCCACAGCTTCAGCAGGCAGTTGAGTGCCAAAGGCAACATCATATGTATCAAGTGCGTCTGATCGATTTCCTTCCAATTGTTGCTCAAATTCCCCAACATCAAACTGCTCATCTGACTTCCGTAGGAATTTGTCTTCAACATTTATATGGCCTTTCACTAGAAACTTCGGTTCGGCCTTATTTAAGAATGTAATACTTCCCATTGGCTCTTTACTGGAATGGATACTTGATACTTTCTGTTTCTAATTTCAGATTTGGTATTCCTTAGGTTAATTAAGTTTAATATTCAATTACGGAGGTTTCCTTAAAGTTTCTTGCATTATATGTTCATATTCTTTCGCAATACTCAGCCGCTTAGGAGGAGGAGAAGTGTCCCTCCTTAAAGTTTCTTGCATTATATGTTCATATTCTTTCGCAATACTCAGCCGCTTAGGAGGAGGAGAAGTGTCCCTCTACCGTAGACCTTCATAATGATAAAATAGTGTACTGAAGCCAACAAAGTTGGTTCATTTTTAAAAACCTTTTTTCCTGCAACAGAGAGAGCAACTTGCATCTTAAACTGTTTATCAGTATAAGCACTGTATAATTTCAATCAACCAAGAAATAATTGAAGTACAATAAAAGACACTTTTTGCTCATTAATGTGACGTCTCAAAAGTAACTTGGTTGGCGTTGCAAGAGCTGAATTTGAGGTAACAGTTTAGCCTCTATAGGTCTCAACAATGATTCACCATTCTGTGCTACATCAATGAGCAGGACTTGTGATATTTATCTTTTCGTTATGACTGACCGTTGTTACATAATTTGCCTTTGGCTGTGTACTAATCCATTTTGGCTTACTCCATTGCATTTCTTCTTATCATTTAGAAATTCCTACTATTTAGTATTAATAAAAGTAGGAATAGGTCTACCAATCATTATCACCATCTAATTAATTATTTAAAATGAAAAAACATATTGATAGTGGGATATTGTATGAAAACAACTTCAGTGCCATAGTTAATCAGTGCACATTGTCTTCTTAGGTTGAAGGGGAAGATATTTGAAAAGAAATAACAACAAGTAACATTCATTTTATGCACATAAAATAGTAGAATAAATCACAAGTTTTAGTTTCTTCATAATTTTCTTTTACTACAGATTCACATATTTGGTCTGGTAACAGAGCTTACACCAATGATTTTCTTTCTTGTCTTTACCATTCATGTTACGACAGTGATATTATACTTTCTGTAGAGAATATTTTTGCGAGTATTTTCAATGCACAATGTGTTCAACTTGATGTTGACCATGACTGCAACTTATTTTTGCCTTTGCAGAACTACTGACGCTTCTGTTACATTCGGTACCCCAAAAAGAGTTGCTCGACGTGCTTATAGGTAACCAACTATCTTATCTTTATATATTTTTAAACGCAATCTCCTATTAACACATTCTCTGTTTCTCCTGCCCGTTGTACTGCTAACCGCTAATGTTGTGCACCATTTTTGTTCCTACAAGCTGTGCTATTGTGTCTATCTGTAATGTTGTTTGACGACAGCCTGTTGTTGGTACTCACAACAGGTGCTGTATATATCGAGGTGCAGTATCTTTTTGTGCTTCCACATACTCGGTAATATAAATTGATACCCTTGCTATCACAGGTACAGCAAATAACAGCCTACTACTTTTTTTATCTACCAAATTACATTGTCAGCTACCATTATTGATATCCTGTTGTTTTCAAAATACTTATAAAGTAGTACTACTTTATCTGTACAGGTATTCTAAGACATTCTTGTGCTTGGATTGATTTATACTTTCTACCTTGCACTTTTATTGACTAAGATTATGCAACATATTTTTCAATATAAATTATGGTTTACTGATAGCATTTTTTTGTTGACGAAAAAAGGCATCATTATAGATCTTACGTCTGTTTTGTTCGCATGGTGTTATAACTCTGTAAAATGCCTGTATATATACGTCTTATCCTGCTATGTAAGTACGTGTTTGAAGATCGCCAGCTTCTGCTTGATAGGTAATACAAAGAACAACCCCTACTTTTTTTAGCTACCAGAAAATGTTTCCACTTGCCGTTATTGACGTCGTTTTGTTTCCAATATTGCAGAAAACATGGACAACACGGTTCACTTTGTGTAACTTACTGGCATGTACATTTATATTTTTGTTAGCCGGTGAAACATATTGGTGTTGTAACTGATGTAAATACCGGGTTGAAAGACTAGCAGTAAATATGACCTCCTTCTTTGGCTTGGATTTGTTTTCTTCACTCTGCTAAGTATCCAATTTTCTACGACTGAATCAAAAGAAACTTACTGGTATCCGAAGGATAACGACGCACTTCGTCCTACAGACCATAATGTTTAACAAATCGACTCACATATCTCAATACATAATTGATCAAATTGCAATTGTTCTCTATAGAAAGTAATTTATTTTCTTTATAAATTAATATAAGCTGCTATTTTTATCAAGTTTGGGTCCGGGCTCAGCACGGGCCATTATAGATTACTTTTGTCTTTGAAAAGCTACTGCAAAGAACTACCAAGTTTCTAATGCCTTTTGTTTTCTTTTCTTCTTGTTTCCTTTCTGGTTACTACTGGAATCTGAGCATGTTCTTTTTGATAAAGGGTAAAAAGAGAACTTTCTCAGAAAAACAAAGATAAACATAAAAGGAAAGAAGAGAAATTAAAAGAAAACTTTAATATTTGTGCCTATATATTAGTGCTTAATTGAAGCCAATGTTACGGCGAATAATCAGGGATTTGTAATAATTATCAATTTGACAGAAAGAAGACCCCTCTTTCACGTTTTCTCCGCGGCAAAAAATATTTACTAGGATCTCTTTGGAAAGCCATATGTAATTAACTGAGAATGTAATTACCAGTGTAATATTATGGTAATTATATAGTATAATAATTACAATAATCAATTTATTTGCCGCAATATAACTATAGTGTATTATCACTGTCATATTTGATTGGACAAGTGTAATTATATGATAAGTTGATAAATAATGTCGTAAAATACTATCTTTCATGTCAATAAAATTGTTTTCTATAATAAGTATTTGTACTAATAATTAGAAAGTAAAGCTAATAGAATCCAAAGTAAGCAATTTTCATGTGAGGCAAAATGGCAAATACATGTGTACTAGGTATTTAAACTACATGTTTTTCTTTAATCAAAATTATTAAATAATTACAAGTTGGTAACTAATATCTAAAGAATAATCAGTATCTTGATTATCTTTCAAATACCTAATAGCTCAATTTTAAAATAATTAGTAAAAATTTCAATGTAAATTCAGCTTTTTACCAATTCATATGAATATAATATGAAATCTATGATTATTTTACTTTTTAAATAATAAAAAGCCAGATGTGAGTTTAGAAGGTGTATTTTTTAATAATTATTTATGCTAATGAAATACTAGAAGATAAAGCTAGTAAAATACAAAATTCTATCTAACAACTTAGGAAAAAAAAAAAGAGCAAATATGAGGGGTTGTAAAATTATATGAAAGTATATCATAAGCAACATGTTGAAAGATTGGAATGAGAGTCCGGAACCTTTTTATTGTTTTTTTGCACTATTGTGACGTTAATAAGTGTAAAAAAAAAAGAAAGATACATTTCTATATATAACACCGAAATTTGAGGCGTTATACCTTAACAATAATTTTTGCCGTTAAGGTATAGCGCAAAGAATAATGGCGATATATCCCTTGACGATTTGTCTGCCAGGTTTAGCGTATAGAATTCATACGCTATACCTATAACGCCAAGAATTAGCATGCTATACCCTTGATTAAATAATCCCCTTCGTCTTTCCCGACCAGAACTCCTCCTCCCCATTTTTTTACTCCTTTCCATTTGTCTGGTCCCCCACCCCTTCGTTCCTAAAAAAAAAAATTGTGGGCTCCTCCCGTCACACAAAATGCTAAGAACGTAGGTCCCACATCGTACTGGAGCATCGTATTATTGTGGTTTCACTCTTTCGGACTCAAATTTTCAGCAAGTTTACTTTTCGAAAACACTAAATCGAGGTATTTCGATTTATTTTATGTCGAAAATTGTATAATAATGCATATTAGTTGATTTGAATGTGTTTCCATGTCGTTTTGTGTTTTATTTGCGAAACTTGTATGCTATATTTATCCGGACTTTGATATTGGTGTTCTAAAAAAATGTAAAATTTGAGAAATAATTTTTTTCTGTTTAATATCCGGATTTTAGATATTAGTATTTCCATGTCGTTTTGTGTCTTATTTGCAAAACTAGTATGTTATATGTATTTTTGTGAATGTTATGTGATTAAAATGTATTTGTTGTTTATATTTCGTTAAAATTATTTATTAGCGTAGTAAAATGTAGAACCTTCTAGCGTAGTAAACTGTATAGTATTTAGCGTAGAATCCCTATAGTTTAAGTATTTCTTATACTGGTAGATGAAAATATATACTTTGTACAATTAAATAATTAAAATTTAAGAATTTTAATTATAAAACAAACACACAAAATGGTAAAAATATTGAATTTGACACACATAATTATTCATGATAGTTTGGTGCTACAGGGCCTCGAATATCGAGTCTGGAACCCAATAGGTATATATACTTTGTACAATTAAACAATTAAAAATTAAGAATTTATATTATAAAACAAACGCACAAAATTATAAAAATATTGAATTTGACACACATAATTATTCATGATGGTTTGGTGCTACTGGGCCTCAACTATCGAGCCCGGAACCCAATAGGTATATATACTTTGTACAATTAAATAATTAAAAATTAAGAATTTAAATTATAAAACAAACACACAAAATTATAAAAATATTGAATTTGACACACATAACTATTCATGATAGTTTGGTGCTACTGGGCCTCAAATATCGAGCCTGGAACCCAATTGTCACGGCCCAATTCCCAAGCCCCAGCGGTGATGGCGCCTCTCGTGAAGACAAGGCCAGCCAGGACAAAACGGATACACCTCTTTTAACAATTTCTTAGCATTAATAGATCCACAACGCGTATAAGCAGTTATAAACGTGCGAACATCGACAATAGCAAAGGAAACCATCCCGACACAGCCCAAACTGGGGTGTCACAAGTCATGAGCTACTACAGAGTTACTATAAGTCTAAGAAGTAGAATATCTGATAAAATAGTCTGAAGGAACTGAAATAACATAAAATAGGGGAGTCAAGGGGGCTGCGGACGTCAACAGCTACCTCGAAGCTCCAACTCACTGCCTGCCTGTGAAGAATATCAGTGCTCAGGAACGGACTCTGCTATGCCTGAATCTGCACACATGGTGCAGGGAGTAATGTGAGTACTCCGACCCAGTGAGTAATAATAATAAATAATAACTGAAGGCATGAAAACACATAAGTGCACAAGACAATGCTATATCAGGTAGTAAATCACTTTAAGCAGTAAAACAGTAAAAGTGAAGTCTCATTTTTCTTAAAGACAGGTAAATCAGGTAAAACAGTAAATGAATAATGAATAGTAAAACTGCCCCTCAGGCCCAGTATCAATCGCTCAGTACGGTAACAGCCCCTCGGGCTCAATCTTAGTCACACAGCATAGTATCAGCCCCTGGGGCTCACTCTCAAATCACATGGGTATCCGCGCTCACTGTGGGTGTGCAGACTCCGTAGGGGCCCCTTACGGCCCAAGCGCTATATCACCATAAGGCCTGAAAGCCTTCTCACATCACACTCGAGGCCTGAAAGCCTCCTCACATATCACTCGAGGCCTGAAAGCCTCCTCACAATACACTCGAGGCCTGAAAGCCTCCTCACAATACACTCGAGGCCTGAAAGCCTCCTCACAATACACTCGAGGCCTGAAAGCCTCCTCACATCACGCTCAAGGCCTGAAAGCCTCACTCAGTCCAGAAACATCATAAGCCCCTCGGGCATAAATAAAATAATAGTTCTCAGCCCAAACAACAGTGAAATATCATTAAAATCTCAAAATTCAATTAAAGCGGCTGAGTTTGCAAAACAGTATAATTATTGGGACTGAGTTCAAATAACGTATCAAAATAGTGATAACAATCCCCGAAGGATTCAAGTAATCGGCATTAAGCCCAAAACATGGCAATAAGCCCAAATCACGATGATAACCAAATCAGCCAGTCAAATACGCGGTAAAATATCAAACGGGACGGATCAAGTCACAATCCCCAGTATTAAACAACTCCGCGCTCGCCATTAAGCGCGTGTTTCACCTCAATATAGCACTACCTTGTGCAAATCCGGGGTTTCAAACCCTCAGGATATCATTTACTATCATTACTCACCTCAAGCCGGCCAAAATCCTAGCTCGCTATGCCCTTGCCTCGCAAATCAACCTTATCGCGCGTCGAATCTTGCCAAAACCACAACGAATACGTTACAATAGGCCAAGGGAATATAACCCAATCGAAAAGACTCGAAAAACATCGAAATTCACGAAATTGGCAAAACCCGAGCCACGAGCCCACTTCTCGAAAAATCAGAAAATTAACATTACCGGATTCCTTATCTCGTCACGAGTCTATACATATCAAAATTACCAAAATCGGAGTCCATTTGACCCCTCAAATTCCACTTTGAAATACCAAATTCCCAAGCCCTAACTTTACCCTCTTTTGATGAATTTCCACAAATTTCCACGTTAATTCTACCATTAAATCACGTATTTAGGTCAAGGGACTCACCTCCAATCACACCTAGTCGAAATCCCCTTCAATTTCCGTCCAAGAGTCTCAAGGTCGATCAAAAATGGTGGAAATGAACTTAAGCTCGCGGAACAAAATGAGCTTTAAAACCCTTCTCTGAACAGTGATTTTCGCATCTGCGGTTCCTTTACCGCATTTGCGGCTACCGCTTCTGCGGTTATACCTCTGCTTATGCGGATCTTCATTAAGTCCACGACCGCTTCTGCGGTCATCTCTCCGCATTTGGGGATCCCGCTTCTGCGGATACCTGTCCGCTTCTGCGGAAATACCAAGGCCACGCCAATTCGCTTCTGCGACTCATCTACCGCATCTGCGGCATCGCAGATGCGGCCCCAAGCCCGCACCTGCGGAAATAGCAAACCTTCCAAGAACTCACACCTGCGTACCTTCCTTCCGCACCTGCGCAACCGCATCTGCCGTTCCTTTTCCGCAGATGCGGAAATAAACCAGGCACACCAGCAATCTCATAAGTCCAAATTTCATCCCGATGGCCATCTGAAATCACCCCGAGGCCC